ATAAGGATACTATGGTCAACAGTATCAAAAGCAGCAGTAAGGTCCAGGAGTGCAAGTATCACACACTGACCACAATCATTTGCTAATTGAATGTCATTACAAACATTCACTAAAGCTGTTTCGATGCTGTGCAATTATTTAAAATGAGATTGAAAGATCTCAAAAATTCCATTCGCATTCAAAAACTCATTTAGTTTAATAAAAACTATCTTCTCCAGGATTTTAGAAAGAAAGGGACGTTCTGAGATTGGTCTGAAATTTGAGCAAGATGAACGGTAAAGTCCAGGTTTTTTTAATTAATGGATTTACTGTTTCAAAGCATCAGGAACTAGACTTGTGGCCATTTTCCTGTTTAAAATATCAAGAACAGAGGGTACGATTGAGGGTAAAACTTATTTAAAAAACACTGCAGGGATGGGTCAGCAGGGGAACCTGAGGGTTTCATTATGACCAACAACATAATTTAATAATGAGAGAGAAATAGGTTTAAACTGATTGAAGACAGCTGAGCAAGGGACAAAGACAAAGGGGTCGGCTGTGGAGTGAGGAATCGATGACCTAAGCGACTCAACCTTTTCAACAAAGTATCTGATAAAGTCATGACAAGTGTCCACAGAGGCCTTCATGCTGGCAGACTGAGGCACGTTTATGGTATTAAAAAGAATACAGGGATTATGACTATTTGAAGCAATGATTTGGGAGAAAAGTTTTTTTTTTTGTTTTGTTTTGTTTTGTGATTTAAAGGTGGTCTGATAGTCTTTCCAACATGTTTTCAGCATAATAAAAGAAACCTGTAGTTTTTCCTTCTTCCATTTGTACTCAGCTTTGTTGCAATGATGTCTGGCAGCTCAGGTGGTCTCATTTAACCAAGGGTGAGGTGTACGCTTTGGTTGCCTGATTTTTATTGGGACCACAAGGTTCAAGATCTTAACACAGGACTCTTGATGCTTAGTGATCAGCTCATGAGTACTGTGTCCAGCCTTAGTTACTAACCTAAAAAGGTTAATCAATCCATCCATTATCTTTTACCCTCTTCCTTTTCAGGTCACGAACTAGTTTCCATATCCAGCCATCACTGTGTGAGAGTTGGGGTACACCCTAGACAGGTCTCCAGTCCATCACAGGGCCACACAGAGACAAACGAAACAAACAACCATTCACACTCACACCTAGGGACAATTTACCATACCATCCCATTTTATTTATAGAGCACTTAAAACAGCGACAAGGCCAACCATAGTGCATATTTAGAGTTCCCAATCAGCATAATAAAAGAAACCTGTAGTTTTTCCTTCTTCCATTTCCAATTTAGAGTTACCAATCAGCCTAACATGCATGTTTTTGGTCTGTGGGAGGAAACCAGAGTACCCGGTGAAAATCCATGCATGCACGGAGAGAACATGCAAACTCCACCCAGAAATGTCCTGGGCCAGGATTTGATCTGGCGACCTTCTTGCTGAGAGTCAAGAACTCTACCAACTGAGCCACTGTGCCATCGCCAAAAGGGGTCCTTATTATAAAAACTGTGGGATTATTCATGACTATATATATATATATATATATATATATATATATATATATATATAGTATGTGTGTACACAGTATGTAAATACAGTATATATATATTATATATATACAACTCCCTTCTTTATGGCCTCCCCAACAAATCTCTCCAGAAGCTACAATTGGTCCAGAACTCAGCTGCCCGTGTCATCACTCAAACCTCCTCCTATAACCACATCACTCCTGTCCTGCAGCAGCTCCACTGGCTCCCGGTTAAATCACGCATAGTCTTCAAAATTCTTCTTCTCACTTTCAAAGCTATCCACAACCTTGCCCCTCCGTACCTAGCTGACCTCTTACACATATCTATCCCCTCTTGCTCTCTCAGATCCTCCTCTTCACTACACCTCCATGTACCCTCCGCCTGCCTCTCCACCATGGGGAGCAGGGCCTTCACCTGCTCTGCCCCTCATCTCTGGAACTCTCTACCCCTGACTTATGAAACACCACCTCTCTTTCTATATTCAAGACTGCTCTGAAAACGCATCTCTTTAGACTCGCTTATCCTTAACTTTGCTGTATGTATTATTATTCTTTACGCATTTTATATTCTGTATGTATTTTATATTCTGTATGTATTTTATATTCCTTATTCCTGTTGATCTTTGTTCTTACTGTAAAGTGTCCTTGGGTGTCATGAAAGGCGCTTTTTAAATAAAATGATTATTATTATTATTATTATTATATATATGCCACTCCATGCCACACGTTGATGCTCCAGCATATATATATATGTTTTTTGTTCAACTCCTCCCCCTTTCTGCACATAAGACAATAAAATTAACCCTGTACTAAACTCTTTAATGTTTCTGTCTGAACCTGGCCTATTTAGAACTTAATCAATGGTGGGTTTTTTTTTATAATCTCTGTTATTTTTTATATCTTGTGTGAATCCTCGTGTATCTTCCTATGTACTGAAATTCTGGCACAACAATTTCCTGTGGGATCATTAGAGTTCTATCTTATCT